GCTGAGATTACAGGTGTATGCCACCACGCCCAGACTCAGCTGCCAGCTCAGTGAACCCTGGAGGCAGGGCTGGCATGGCATTGGGGACCGGTCAAGCGAGCCATTTCCAAGTGATGTTAATAACTGGACCTTCAAGCAATCACAGTCTCTGAATTCCAGCATAACGGAGAGGAGCCAAAGATGAATTAGTGTCTCCCATCACGCAGTCTGCGGTTACTGCAACAGCAGTGTCTTGGGTGCTGGCCAGTCACTCACGACTGGCCAGCTTTGTTGCTCTTCCAGGCTGTGTGGCTTCCTTGGGCTTCCAGCTCTCTGCACTTCCATACCAGTTTAAAATCAGCTTGGCAATGTCCACAAAACAGTTCGGTGAGATTTTCATTGCAACTACATTCAATCCAAAAATGAACTGAAAGAGACTTGACATTTTGATAATATTGCACGACCGATCACTAATGTGGCATTTCCCTATGTTCTGCAGTTTTCTGTGAAGAGGTCTTACATAGCTTTTGTTATATTTTTTTTCTAGGATTTTCTTTTTTTTAACATTAGAAACTGTTTTTCTTTTATTCATTGCTTGGCTACTATTTCTATTGGCTAAATTTTCAAAAAGTTAAGACAAGTAATCCTTTTCTTGGATTGAGCATGTTCTCCCTCTCTGACACACATATGACTTAGCCATACTAAGAACCACAATTCCTTGCTTTTGCCACTCAGAGCTCCCTGAGGAATCAAAGTGCTCCTAGGAGCAAAAATGACACGGAACTCTGGCAATCAACCCCATTTTTATAAGGGAAAGCGATTGTAGGTGGATTCTTGCCACGCCAGCACTCACGCATAACTCTTGGCCCTCCTGACTTCTTAAATGCTTCTTAGAAATTACCCTGTAGCAATGTTTTTAGGTTTGCCTGATACCTGAATTCGGGAGCATTTGAGGAGGTGCTGAATGAAAATGAGCGAAGGCCATTGATCTGGACAGAGCTCCTGCACGGTGCCCCAGTAGACCAGACCAAAATGGAGTCACTCATGCTAAAGTTCTGCACCACCAACTGAAAGTAAGTTGTTGATCTGACTTTTGGAAACACTAGTGTAGAGGGAACGAGGAAAGAGGAAGGGAGAGCAGAGAGGAGGGGAGGAGAGGAAGGAAAAAATCTTTAATTCTTAGAAGGAAAGTAGCCTGAGGTGGTGTGCTTCTACCAGATCACAGTTTCTCGTTTCTGCTTTCTTCAGTGTTTTCCTACCTGTAAAGCCAACATCCTCTGCTTAGCTTGTTGGAGCACCTTTTCTAAGTTTAGAGCAGAAGTGTCCTCACTACAGGAATTGTAGATAAAAGCCCACTACAACCCTGAGAAGGTTTTGTCTTGTAATTAGTTGTGCAATTTTGTGGGCTCCATCTGGTGGGAGCTTTAGGACTCAACACCCTTGGCGACCACAGATGGGGCCTGTCTCCTACCATGGAGGGCAACACGGCCACCACTGTGTCCTCTGCTGCCCCAGCTGCTTGCTGAGCCAACCTCTCAGGGGTTAGGCATCTCCCTCTGCCTCTCCACGACTGGTCTGCCACTGGCCATTCCACCCAGGAGCTGCGGCAGGATTTCTCAGACACAGAGTTTGCCTGTCCTGCACCTTCAAATCTCCAGAGCAGCAGTCCCAAACAACTTTTGTTGCTGTAGCTCCTTTGGCTTCTCCAAGCAAGACTGGTGTTGCAGTGGGTCTCTTCCCAGCGCCCTGCTGTGCTATGCTGGGGGCCTCTCTCAGGTAGTCCACACCATGTGCTGCCACTGGACCAGAGCCACGGCTTCTCCTACAGGTGCGCTGTCTGAACCCCCCATGCTCACCTTCTGCATGCGCAGTGGGTTCTCCTCCCTGCTTCAACTGGTGTTGTGCTGCTGCTCTTCTCTGGGTTGCTTTTCTGTTTCTTCATGACTTTTAGCTTTCCTGTTCCCTCTTTTTCTTGGTTCCAAGAGCCCTTGTCTCTGCTTGCTGAGTGGCTGTTTTCAGGCTGTCTTAAGTGCGAGTCACAGAGGGGTCACTGGTTGCCACCTGGCTGCGTTCCCTCTCGTATGTATTGCTGACATAGTTCTTTATGTCTCCAGCTCCCCCCACCTTTCATTCTGGGGATCAAGCTCAGGACCTTGTGCCTGTCGGGCAGGCGCCACGTCACTGAGCTAGCTCCCCGCCCTTCAGCCCTTTTCTTACGGTTGCTATCTTCATGATGCGCCTGGGTAGCGGCAGCTTTTCTACTAGAAGACACGTCTGCCAGTGTCCCGGTAGCTGACCAGATGCCACCTAAAGCTAACCCTTAGGGAGATTAATGGCCTTCGATGCCATTTGAAAGCAAAGAGCAGCATTAGATGTTATATTACACGTGGAACCCATTGGTAACGTCTTTTCCACTGAAGTTATAAATCCATGCGTTCAATCCCCAGTTCCACAAAACAATTATAAATCTTAATTTTAACATTTTTAAGTTTTCATCTTGCTAAACTGCTTGCACTGGCCTAGCCTGTGCAGCCTTTCTGCCACGGCCTCCCACCTAGCTGGGCAGAACGAGCCCTTCTGTCTTGCTGTTGTTACTAAATCCATGCTGTCATTGTTATGGCACGTGCAAATGATGAACTAGATTTTATTTTTTTAAAGATTTGTTTCTTTATTTGGTACAGGGTCTCGCTATACAGCTCGGACTTGTGGTGATCCTCCTGCTTTCAGCCTCCCCAGTGCTGAGATTACAGGTGTGTGCCACTACACCCAGACTTGGTCGCTGGCTCAGTGTGCCCTGGGGCAGTGCTGGCGCGGCATGTGGTACCTGGGACGGAACCGCAGTCCCTGTGCGTGCCTAAGCAGGCACTTCAGTCTGCTGAGCTATTTCACTGACCCCCATGCTCTTATTTTTATTGCACCTGCAAAGGATGACTAGATTTTTTTTTAAAGATTTATTTATTTAGTACAAGGTCTTGCTATTCAGTTTGGATTTATGGCCAGCATGGCATGGGGCTGGCTGGGGAGGTGGCACTGAGGATTAAACCCAGGTTCTT